GTGGATTGTTCTTGGTTTCAGACCTGTTACGAGGGGTTCTCAGACTTGTAACAGCTTCGGTAAGTCTGAAATCGTGTTCTTTGTACTGAGTTTTCAATTGTGATCACTGTAAGAAGAAGGAGATGTCTTCAATATCGGGAGAAGTGTCTTCTAGGGATAATAGAACTGGTGGGAGGTCTTCTAATCTGGAAAACCTAAATCTGCACAGCTTGCAGATCACCAGTGTATTGTTGGATGAATATAACTTCAAAGAATGGTCTGTTTCAGCCATGCTCTTCATTACTTCCCGAGAACTTACGGGTTATTTAGATGGACAGAAGAAGGAACCTGAAGTGGGTACTGTGAAGTACGCAATATGGCGTAAGGAAAATGCTATTGTTATGTCCTGGCTGCTTGCTTCGATGACTCGAAGAGTGGCCAGGACTGTTCAACACTTTCCCACTACTGCTAAGATTTGGGAGAAAGTGTAAAACTTAGGGAGAGAGAAAGAACAATGCAAGAATTTAAAGGCTAAACCAAGACAATGCTGCATTGAGACAAGGAGATATGACAGTTGCAACGTATTTTGCAACCCTCGAAGGACTATGTGAAGAACTTGATCGTCATCTTATTCTTGGTTGGGAGAATGTAAAAGACAAGGAGATGCATGATAAACAAATTGAAGATGGTAGAGCCTTTAAGTTCTTGGCTGGTTTAGACACAATGTATGAGAGCATAAGGTCTCAAATTTTGGGAAGGTATGAAATGCTAGATTTACACCATGTCTACTATCTAGTAAGGAATGAAGAGGTTATGAGGAAAGAGATGCAAGTTCACACTCAAATACAGCCTGTTGAACATTCAGCCATGATTTCTTCAAACCGAAAAGGGAGCAAGCATTCAGACAAGAGGCATCCCAAGTGCACTCATTGTGGAGGTGAAAGGCATGTAAAAGAGACTTGTTGGGTTCTTTGTCCTCATCTGAAACCAGCTGCATTAAGGAAAGACAAGAAGCCCCAGAGGAATCAAACAGCAAGTGGGAACCTTGTTACTAGTCACAGCGGTGATAGCTCGAACAACACATCTACAGTTACACCTCCTCCCAGGGACAGACAGATAATTTCACCACATCCGGGTCCTTGAGTTTCACTGCTGATGAGGTAGAGGTCCTTATCCGGGCCTTAACCCGTCTAAGGATTAATTCCCTTGCTTCCACCTCTCTTGCCAGGTCAGGTATTGTCTCTGCTTATAGTGCAACTAGTTCTATAGACTCTACTTCTTGGATTATTGATTCCGGTGCAACTAACCACATGACACACATGTCCTCTTTATTTTCTTCTTACCATTTGATGTCTAGCCAAGATAAGATGAGAGTTGCTGACGATTCTCTCTCCACCATCTCTGAGAATGGGGGGTTGACCTAAGCAAAGACCTCTCTCTTAAATCTGTTCTACATGTTCCCAATCTTACTTCCATTCTCTTATCTGTTTCGAATCTTACCACGAATTTAAACTGTAGCAAAACTTTCTTTCCTACTCATTGTGTCTTTTAGGACAGACTGACGAAGAGAACGATTGGGAGCGGTCATGAGTGTGGAGATCTCTACTATTTTGATGCAGATATCAGTTTGGCCTTACAATCATCTGCTGCCAGTAGTCAGAACAATGAGTCAATAGCTAGGTTACACTTGTGGCATGCGAGGCTAAGTCATTTACCTTTTTCATCATTGCAAAGGTTGTTTCCTGAATTATTCAAGGGTATTTCAAGTCAAAGTTTAGTTTGTGAAGTGTGTCAGTTGTCAAAACAATGTAGAACTCTTTATCCAATTTCTAGTAATGAAATTCAAGCTCCTTTTGATTTGGTCCATTYTGATGTTTGGGGCCCTTCACCTCTTGTTTTTGTAGATGGCTTTCGTTACTTTACCAGTTTTATTGATCACTATTCTTGATGCACATGAATCTACTTGTTAAAGGGACGTGATGAAGTGCCACGGATAACCATGGCATTTGGTAAAATGATTGAAACTCAATTTGACAAGAAGATTAAACAATTCCGTTCAGACATTGCTACTAAATATTTTGAAAGATCCTTGAACTTGTTCATGGAGGATGCAGGCATGCTACACCAATCATCATGTGCTAGTACCCCTCAATAGAATGGGGTTGTTGAGCGCAAAAATAGACACTTATTGGAGACCGCTCGAGCTTTACTATTTCAGCACAAGGTTCCCAAGAACTATTGGTCTCAAGCAGTCCTTACCACAACATATTTGATAAATCGGATGCCATCCAAAGTGTTGGGTATGAAAAATCCTTTCTTTGTCCTTTGTCCTAATCTTCCAGACTTTCCTCTTCCACCTAGAGTCTTTGGTTGTGTATGTTTTATACATGCAAAGGATCCAAAGAAGACCAAGTTGGATCCTAGGGCTACGAAAGGAATCTTTCTAGGGTACTCTCCTACACAGAAGTGTTACAAGTGTTATGATCCCGTTACCAAGAAGAAATACGTCACAAAAGATGTGGTATTTTTGAGTCTCAGTCCTATTTTCATTCTTCCCAGAATCCTCTTCAGRGGGAGACTAGAGAGATAGAAGAGGATTCTTCTTCCCCCTCCTTTTCTGTGCCTCTTTTTGCCTCAGGTCTTCCATCTTCTCCTCCTGATCCTCCTAGTTGTAGCATCCCAGGTGAATCTAGTGAGGCTCCCATTCTGTTACCGCTCTTGATGCTGCAGATGTAACTAAGGACACTAGTAGGCAACAAAAGGATATAAGAATCACCTACAACAGAAGGAAAAAAG